AATAGTTTTAGGAAAATCCTGCATTGGTAGAGGGCTGGAATAGGTTTTTTCTGTCTTTCTAGTCTAGCCACTCAGCACAGGGAGGCCTGCAGTGCGAGCCCATGGTGGAGTGATTATTCCTCTATATTCGGCACTGGTGAGTCACATCTGGAGTATTGCATCCAGTTTTGGGACCCCCGCTACAGAAAGAATGTGGACATACTGGAGAGAGTCCAGCAGAGGGCAACAAAAATGATTAGGGAGCTGGGGTACATGACTTATGAGGAGAGGCTAAGGGAACTGGGCTTGTTTAGTCTGCAGAAGAGAAGAATATGGGGGGATTTGATAGCAGCCTTCAACTACCTGAATGGGGGTTCCAAAGAGGATGGAGCTTGGCAAATGACAGAATGAGGAGTAATGGTCTCAAGTTGCAGTGAGGGAGGTCTAGGTTGGATATTAGGAAAAACGATTTCACTAGGAGGGTGGTGAAGCACTGGAATGGGTTCCCTAGGGAGGTGGTGGAATCTCCTTCCTTAGGGGTTTTTAAGGTCCAGCTTGACAAAGCCCTGGCTGGGATGCTTTATTGGGGATTGGTGCTGCTTTGAGCAGGGGGTTGGACTAGATGACCTCCTGAGTCCTTTCCAACCCTGATATTCTATGATTCTATGGCACAGCTGGATCCAGCCCCCAGCATCGTGCCTGGGCATAGCTGAGTGCACACGCCGGTCCCCGATGGGGAGCTAGGCCCATGTGCTCTCCAGCCTCTCCCCACTCACCTGGCAGGCTGCCCCCGGTCATAGGATTTCCTCCGGGTCAGAGGCGAGGTGTCCGAGCCACGGGACTGCCTAGGGCTGGAACAGAGCAAGACCAGATCAGTAATCGCCCCTCCTGGGGGCCAGGGCCCTTCACCTCTGAAAAGGCCTCCCCCAGAGCAAGCGAGCCGAGAGCCCTGGGGCAGCGCACAGATCCACCTCCCGAGCCAGGGGTCCAGCGGGCTGGATCAGGCCCCGGCAGGGCCCAAGGCCAGGCCAGCGGCCCCGGCTAAGGGTTTGCGCTGTGAGCGCAGGTCCTGTTGGCTTCATCACCGAGACTGCTGCTGGAGAAGGCAGCTCCGTGCCTTCTATAAGAGGGCTGTGGAGACTGGACGCCCAACTCTGTCCGACAGCAGAACCCGGTTTGTCCCCGCCTTCCCCAGGCCCCGTCCCCCCGACGGGCAGTTTGTGGACATTGGCAATCCAAGATGGCAGAGCATACTAGCCCCACCACTGCATGCTGGGACAGGCTAGGTCGACCGAGAGGAGTCCAGACTCAAGGCTCCAAGGGAAGAATACGATGGCCCAGCCCACCGCTTCCCCCAAGGGCCTGTAAGCACGTGGGGCCCATGCTTGCCAGGGCTTACAAGGTGCTGCCGCGGGTGGGCAGGCTGATGGTGCGGGAGACCTTATCCTTGTAGTAGGAATCCCGGATGGAAAAGCCGATCCCGTCTTCCTTGATCTCCATGAGGGACACCAAGGACTTGGTGATGTTCTTGGTGGAGATGTCCAGCGTGGGTCCCAGGTACTCGGCCGACACAGCCTTCATCTGGCCTGACAGCTTAGGTTCCCCCTATGGCGTGGCACAGGGAGGGGAGGGCTGAGAGGCGAGGAGTTCACTGCCCCGAGGGTAGCACGTGGAGCAAGTCTGAGACGCTGGCGCCCCTTGGCCATTCAGTTCCAAGAAGCCTCTGGGGCCAAGCACCCAGCAGTGGCAGATCTAGAGAAACCTTTCAGTTGGGCCCCGGTTGCCAGCATTAACGTTTCATGAGCTCATTAATGAGGGCAACAGGAAGTACCCCCTGTGCAAGGCTGAAACGTGTATGGCCCAGAGTGCCGGAGCAGCTCTCCCAGGAGGATTCGGCGCATGGAGGGACTGGTCCAGTCAATTAGCCTCTGGGAAGGTCGCACAGCACCAGGGTGTCACATGGGTTTTATTTGCTCCCAGAGGAGGGCTAGACAGCACCAGGACACCTTGCCTGGATTCAGGGAAGCCCAGTACAGCTCAATGATGTGGCATTTGGGGGTTTAAAGTGGGCTCTACGATTCAAGGAGCCATTTATAGGGCCAAAGTAACACGCCAGGCACGGCCGTCACCAGGAGACCAGACCCCGGGCTATTTCAGTTCCAGACCCAAGACATTCCGCCCATGGAGAAGACTCCCGCCAAGGGCCACCGCCCAGCCGTGAGCACAAAGGGAGAGGGGGTACAATGGACCGAAGACCCCACATCTGGACGTTAAACGGCCCTGTCTGTGGCCGTGAACTGACCTTGAACTTGAAGTCGTCCTGGCTGGCCGAGCCCTTCATGGTGAAAGACTGGGAGAAGCTGTAGGAAACAAAGGGTTAAATGGCCGATCCCCTTTAAGGCTTAACTTAAAGCTAAAGGAAGAAACCACTGCCCATCACCCCTACCCCATAACACCAGCCTGGCTATGGTTCCTCCTCCCATTCCCCGAGGTACAGCCCATCCCCCCGGTCCCTTTCGGGGCCCTCTTCCCTCCCAGCTCTGTCTTGCCCCTGGCCCTCAAGAGGAACGATTACTGGGACAGTTCTGTACAGCCCCTGCACGCCTTGGTTTGAGCACGGCCAGTCATCGCGTGGGAGTAGCCTGTGCACCGTCGGGTCACACGTAGGAGCTCCGAGGGGCTGGAGCATGCTCGGTGCAGACAGAACCTGGAGAATTTAGCTGCCAAGCTCTAACGGGTCTACCTTGCCAATGAGTGCCACAGAGATGTGCCCCCCTCCCTCCATAGATCCCGCCGCTCGGGGCACACGAGGCTGGGACACTGCACACTCCCTGGGGCGCTTACCTCCCCTCCGAGGCCAGGCTGAACTCCGAGATCTCCTCATCCGTGCTGGCGTAGCCGTTCTCTGCACAAGGAACAGCCAACAAGGGTGCGTCAACACGACAGAGGGTGGGAGGGCACCGCACTGGGCTGGTCCGATCAGAGCCAGCCAGCAGGCGGTCGCCAATCAGCGTGTGGCCCTTTAGGTCCTTGGGACTCCCCCAGACCACTGCTATCGTATCATTAACTCTTTGCCACCAAAGCGCCATCAGTGCATCCTCACGGCTGGACAGGCTGTGCGCCACGGGGGC